AAAAAAATCCTCTCTACCACCCCCCTCCCACATGTTCTGGATTCCAAACCTTGGCTCAGGTATCGAGTAAAAAGCACGAAAAAAAGCCACGTGGGAGGAAGTGCTGGAAAATATTCTTTTCCCTGGCTACTCAAAGTCAAGGTCTCCAATTAAAGAAGAGGGAAAAAAATAGGGGAAAAAAAAAGGGGGGAAGGGAAGGGGGGAAGGCAAAAAAAGAAAAAAAAAAGGGAAGAAGAGGGAGGAATGGAAAAAAGAAAAGGAAAGGAAATAAAAGGGAAAAAGGAAAAAGAAAAAAAAGGAAAAAAAAAAAAAAAAAAAAAAAAAAAAAAAAAAAAAAAGAAGAAAAAAGGGAAAAAAGAGGAAAAAACAAAAAAAAGAAGAAGGGAAAAAAAGAAAAAAAGGGGGAAAACAAAGGCCACAAGAATTTGAAATTAAAACATATCTAATCTCACACATTCAGGGGCACACAGGTCATCTTATCACTTTCACCTGCAGAGACCAAACTACACAAAGCACAATCCAGGACAAACCTACGAGCCATTTTCTTACTGCAGTGACCTACAGTCTGTAGTGCACATAGTCCACGTGGACAGTACTTGCCAAGCGAGTATCTGATCAAATATTTGGAATTTTTAAAATGTTCCACTGTAAATTTTCTCCTTCATCTCTGTCATGAAGCTCTTGGTTATGCATCTTTATTATATAGAATTGTACCCAGTCCATCATCTGAATTGTACCCAGTCCATCATCTGATTTATCGTGATTTTTCAATACTATTAAGATAAATGAAAACAGTTCTAATAATCAGTTCTAGTTAAATGTAAATTTGGGACAATGCCCTTGGGATGCTGCAGGATTGCTTTTGTCACCTCTGTAAAGTAATGTTAATATTAACATTAATTCATCATTAGGGTAAGTTCCCACAAGCTAGATTTAGAGGTATTTTCAGGAGAAACACATCACAACCATTCAAGAGTTGGAAATGGATGCAGAGGTTTTACATCCACAAAAATAATGTTGTGCTTGACTGGGTCACTTCTATAAAAATAAAACTGCTGCATCCGTGATCATCATTAACTTGGGAGTTAATGAGCTTGTTTGGCACTGGCAAAGTGGCATCAATAAAGTGGCATAAATATCAAGGACCCTGTACTGTACTCTTACCTTTTAAACTATTTTCAGGCACTGCAAAAGGTTAAAGGATGGATGGAAACGACCACATTGCTCCAGCTGTGCTGCGCTGGGAAATGTTGATGATGTTGCACATGGGGGGAGAAGGTGCAGAGACATCTTCCCTCATGAGGGAACAGAAAATTAGGCCCAGAGAAGCAGAAACTTCCTTTAAACAACCCACTGGGAATGGGAGAAGGAGCATAACCTTCCAGGACAACCCTTTTGCATGCTGAGAATGTCAGGGATTGCACAGAGTGTGTCACCAGCTGGTGGGAGCAGAAGGGATCTGTAAGTGAAGCAAAGAGCTCAGAATTTCAAGGGGAAAGGGTGAGAACCAGAAGATAATAGAAGTACAAATAATTCTCTTTTAAGCCCATTTCCTAATTTGTAATGCTCTAGTTACTGCAAGCAGATAGGAAAAGTAGGAGGGTTCTAATTCTCTCCAGCCTTCCCCAGGATCCATGAGGGCAAGGGAAGATACAACATGAGCTTTCTGCTGCAGAGTCCAGATTTAGGGCACTTTATGTACAGGAGAATCAGAGAACTGGACACTCATAACTGTCCCAAAACACTGACAGTAACCGCACCACCTCTGTGCAATTGCCACATGGCACAGTTACTAATTAAACCTATAAATTTAAGGAATGCTTCTGACTCCCAGGACATGAGAAATCACAGTTTAATGCCGGCACAAACAAGCTGTAGGGCAGTTTCGCTTAGCAACTTTAGAAAGTCACACATCCAAAAAAAAAAAAAAATAAACCCACCAGGATAATCAGACCCCCTTAACTCTGTTCTGCTGCAGAAGTAATTGAAGACAAAAGTGGGTGTTTTGTTTTTTTTTGCTGTAATAAACCTTTGTGATGAAACACCAGAGGAAAATCCTAAAGTTCAACTCGATGCATCACGTTTAACCTGCAGGATGAGATTTTCCTGCCACTAATCTCGTTAGGGCCAGGGCACACTGTGCAAATGCATCTAAACACGTAATTACTTAAGAGAGATTAAAAGGATCAATTTATTTCTATGAAAAATGCGAACTCGGAGAAGAATTCATTAATACTCAAAAGCCAGCCACGCAATAAATAATACTTAATGAAGTGAGGAAAAGGGAGAGATGAACAAGGACTGACATGACGGCTGGTGCTTACTGGTGTTAAAGAGGAACTGACAATTACTCCACTTGAAATATAACTCTCACAGGGGAAATGCTGTGAAAGCGAGAGAAAGGCTTGTTAAAAATATGTATGTACATATATATACACATTTTTAGAAGGCATTGAGATGAGAACTGATTGAATTTAGTCCTAAGGAGGCCCTATCACCATTTTCATCACCCTTAAGCTGTGTTTATGTTAGCAAACAGGGCGGTGCACCAGGAGCATGAAACAGCTGTTGCCCAAATGCTGCCAGCACACAAACTGTACATTTTTTTTTTTTTTGGGGGGGGGGGTGTTGCTGCCAGCTGGCTGCATGGTGGTCCTGCAGACTGACTGCCTCACCCCTTTGCTCCAAGGATTTTTGCTTTGCTAAATCCAAACCCACTTTGGGGTTACTTGGAGTTAGCCAGGCTGCTTCAGTAGATGCTTGCAATAGAAAATGTTCTAATCCACATCTCTAAAGAACCTCTGTTAGGGCAATTACTACTGGCAACAAGCCCAACAAATGCTGGGTTTTGTTCTTTCTGTAAATTTATCAAAGCAAGTTTCTTAGTTTTCATTCTACTCCGTGCAAAATAGGATGGGCTGGGCACGTCCAGCATCTCTGTTCAAACATAATTTTTAATATATTTGGCTGTTTCCTTTGCATTTGTACAATTAGAACTGGGGAACCTGGGGTGGGGGAAAAAAAAGGTACACTTGGAACACAGCATGATGCAGACACATCTTACCTCTGGGTGAAGGTTCTCTTGTTGGGCCTGAGAGGTGATTAAAAATTTGCATTTATGAGCAACACTGAGAAAAAACAACCGTGGTGCCCAAAGGATCCCGGTTCAGCAGAGCCAGGACGAAAAAACAAGGAAGCAGATGCCAAAACAAATGCATCTGTTCACAAGTCACCTGAAATTTTGTTGCCAGGAAGCTACTTTATCCCAACCCTAGAACAACAGGTATCCCGAACGTCTCAGCGAGGGATTGGTATCTTTAAAGCATCCTTGCAGATGCTTATCAAGGGCTGAGGAATTGCCTTCAGCTCCAGGCAAGCGATGAACCCGCCACCAGATGTCACCCACAGGCTACGAGGAGAGAGAAGGGAAGAAGAGAAGGAAAGAGAAGGAGAGAGAAAAAAAACCTTCAAACTGCCGTAAGTCTTCAAAACCAAAATTCTTTGAACACCGAAGGGCATTGCACGGGCTAAAAGCCAAATCCTATGGTTGTTGATGTCTGTACTGAAGGCCTCTACTTCTCTTTTGACAGAACTTGATCAGTGCAGATTTCAACACATAAAAGGAAAACTCTTCTCCTGAATTTCAAATTTTGGTTGATTTTTAATTATTGCACGTCAGTAGCTGAAGAAGCTGCAGCTCAGCTGTTTATTGGCAAAGAACAATCCAACACAGTATTTGAACTTTAGCTTAGAAATTATTTTAGAAAATTCTAAGGAGAAACCAAGATCCAGACTGCTCATAAAAATCAGTTCTGTGGACACCTGACTCTTCTTGTTTCCCCTCACCCACCCACAACTTTACCATTTGTCCTCTTTAACAAACGTGGGAACAGTTCTTTTGGTTTTGTAACTTATGGGGAATGTTTCCATTTTCACAACTTGAACTGGTGAAGCTAAAAAGTTAAAGCAGAACTCGCACACAACCCACATAAGGTGCAGAAAGAGGCGTTTCCACTTTGTTTCACCTCTAATCTCTTAGAAATAAATAAAGTACAAAACAAAATCAAGTTCTGTAATTGCAATAATTTCAGTTATTTAGTAGTATTTGGATATTTTTCTTAGTAGGACCTATTGTGGTAACCAGTGTTAACAAACTGACTTGCAGTCAATGGAATAAAGCAGCTCAGAGTACCCAAAATACTTATTTCTGAGGAAACGTACAAAAATCACAACTATTATATAAAGAACTCTGTTACAATTATATATAAAACAACTGTCAAAGCATTTGGTTCATACAGTGCTTGCTGCCAAGTTATGGAATGAACTATTTGATCCAAGAGAGCCGGGGCTAGAAATGGGCGCCTGGGCAACCATCTCAACCCTGTCTGTTTGGGGACACAGAACAACAGTCTGTCTGTGTTCATGGTGAAGCTGGAACCACAGAGTAAAAGGAAAGGAAGTTATTCATCCAAAGGCAAACAAAAAAAGGCTTCAACAGTGTTAAATTCCCTGCAATGTCTCATTAAACCACATTCAGAACATAAATGGCAGCTGCCTCCGTCCCTCCACCCACAGAGTTTTGTCTGCCCTCTCCCAAAAGCTTCTTGTGAGTTTAGATGTCCATTTCTCGACACCTGCCCATCCCGAAGTCCCAAAGTCAAGTGCAAGGACTTCCTGCTCCATCTCAGGTGAGAGTTTAAACTGGTGTCCTGAAGAGGGGGAACGCGCAGTTTGTGAACCCCAGGTCATCCATCCCAGTCCACAGTGACACGTTAACCACGTTTTGCAGCGGGAATAACCAAGCTAACTCCACTCTCCAGTGCAAAACCTGAAATATGGGACAGCTCTTGGAAAGGTGCCCACAAGCCTCCCCCGTGTTAAAACTTTAGACTTTGCATCTCAGAAAACCTTACTCAGAGAAGGGTGCAATCACCCACCCCTCACCCCAGCGCGAGAAAACTTCAGAGAACCTCAGAAGTTCCGAGGTTCGAGCACGGTCAGTTCCTTCCCATCGTAGAACTCCCTCAGCTGGTTTGGCTCGTATTTTATGGAGGGCCTCTCCATCTGCACCCCCGGCTCCATAGCGTTCCGCCCCACTATTCTGAGATCCACCACTTTGATTTTCCAGGTGTTGTTCCTGACGGGGCAGCTGATGAGCCCAAAGATCTGCTCGAAGATGCCCAGGCAAGCGTTGTCCCTGTGCACCGTGCCGGCCACCGCCACCAGCACCAGGCCGTGAGGGGACATGGCGAATTTGAGGCCGTTGCCGTGCAGGTTGGGGTTGAAGAGCAGGCACTCCTCCTTCACCAAGGAGAGCAGCCGCAGGCTCACCATGTCCGCCCCGACGTACTGCTCCACGTTCTTCTCCAGGGTGTTGTAGCAGAACTTCATCTTGGCATCCTCCCAGAAATGCTGTGGTCCCCAGGTTTCCTCAGATTTCACTCCCAGGGGGTGCTGGGAGTTCAGGAGTTCGAAGTACCACCGGCAGAACTGGCCTCCCAGGCCACCGATGTCATCCTGCGGTGACTTCCCTCCCTCTCCGTGACCCTGCAATCAAGCAAGATTTTTTTTTTCTTAGAACTATTAAGCCTTAAAATGCAAAATTACCACTCAGAGCATAAATTCACGCACATACTTATTTTAAACATTCTAAGTATTCTCTGAGTGTCCTATGACAGAGAAACCTCAAAGTAAAATCTCATTTATTTTCAAGGACATGATTATCTTATATAGAGAATCTGGACAGGTTCTCTATATTCAGAATTCAGAATTCTCTGTATTAGAAGAGTGCTTCAGTTTTGTCTTATCTCCTTAAAAACAAAGAGCAAAATCCTGGTTCTACTGAACAAGGGAAGGATTTTCAGCAGCATCCATGAGACTAAGATTCTCATACTGAGACAAAATTTCTGATGAATAAAGTGTCTGGGTTAATAACTTTTTGTTGCCCTTTACATTTCCAAAAGAACGTTTCCAGACCCAACCTGAACAGCCAATCTCATATTAAGGCACATCAATTTACTGAAAAGTGCTTATAAATAAGCAGGTTTTTCATGCTGCCATCAGCCTCTTCCTTTTGGTGCCTTTTAATTTGGTGAACTGTGTTGGTTTCTGCACCTGCTGATAATAAGCTGATAAGAACAAACAGTATTTCTTGAGAAGTTACCTTCTGAATATTCAAATCCTACTGCTGACAGAATAAGGCCAATTTATAGGGATGTTTTACTTGTGTCAGTCGGATGTGATTACAAAATGCACAACTAATCCAGGAAGAACTGAAACTCAAAGCATTAATGTGTTCCAGAACTTTTTCTCCCCCACATGATCTACCCCAAATTTAGCCCTTTTAGGTAGTAAGACTGCCAAGAATCATCTGAAAGGTGTTTGGTAACTTTAACAAGTGATGCTTGCAGTCTTCACCAAGTTTGTTAACTCCAGAGCCTAATGAGTATTAACTTAACTGTGTTTTAAGTTTTAAGTAATCAAGCACAAAAAGTTTGGAGACTTCTGTATAGAAATGCTGTATTTGTTTCACCATCAACTGTGATTAACTTCTAATTGTGCTACACCCGAGACAAATAAAATACTGAAAGTTCATCACACCACACCAGGATTTGCTAAATGACAAAGTTCTGAACTTCAAAATAACCTGGAATTGCCAAAACACATTTAGTTATTATCAAAGGAAAACAAAACACGTGGACCTGGCACTGCCACAAACTTTACAGTTCAATGATAGATAACTTTGCTAAAATCCACTCTGAGCTCTAACGGCGAACATTAGAGTTCAAATGCACTAATATACCGCGTGAAACGGAGCAGAAGACTGTGCCCTGCAAGTGCTACACTGGCACAGACACCCTTAGTTGATGTAATTAAAGAAAACCCACAAAAACAAAACAAAACAAACAAAAAACAAAAACAACAACAACAAAACCCACGCCAAACCAAACAAAAAGAAAACAAAACCAAAGAGCATGACTTTCCCAGAGAGCAGGACTCACCTCTGCACGTGCTTTTGTGTGCCCCGACTCCGAGGCTGGAGCCGAGAGCTTCCCACTCCAGAACTGCCTCACACGGTCAATGAGCAGATGTTTCTCCAAGGAAGGAGGGGCTGGAATCCCCTGGGCCGCCAAATACTTAAAGATTATTTCTCGGTAGACTTTCCTGCGTCTCAGAAGCTCTTCCACGTTCTGGCTGTAAAGCAGGATGGCGTGAATGGCTTCTGCAAGCGAAGGATTAGTGAAGTTAGCAGGTGCTTCTCTCACCATTAAAACCTTTTAAAGTAATTGCAGCAGAGAGTTCTCACCTGCACTGAGGCTGGTACTTAACATGGGACGTATAAAACCGCTAAATCTAAACAAGAATAAACTAATAGCTAAATTTAAAAAAAAATATATATCTTTTAAGGTAGCCTACAACCACTGCAAAAAGTATATTCTGAAAAAGGCAAGGAACAAGCCTACAAGCAAAAGACCTCTTAAAGAAATAAGGTGTGGCAAATCTTACATGTCTCATTTACATCACATGGAACAAACTCGAGGTTTTGGGATGAGCGTATTTCAGAGCAACACATTGAGAGGGTTAGGTTTAAAAAACTTAACTTAATAAAAATAATAATAAATAATAGAATAAAATAATGAAATAATGAAATAACTCTTCTAAAAATTAACTGTCATAACCCAAATCTCAGCAAAGCCACGGAGGGTGGCCACAACTGCGAGTGGGAAGAGCTAAGGCAGATGTTAGATTTTTATTTTACCCTTTCAAAACCTGAAAGCAAATGTCATTAACATCAAGAGCGAGCAACTCCTGAGCTCTAAATACGTTCCGAAGGGGCACAGCGGGAGATGATGCCCGGAGTGTGGGTGGAGGGGTCCAAGAGAGGAGAAAGAAGCGCTGGAGAGCTTAAAAAAAAAAAAAAAATCTACTAGTTTAGGGGTTTAGAGATATAACAAGAACTGACAGTATTTAAAACAAACAAACAAACAAAACAAAACTGCAAAACCAAGTGACTTAAAGAAGCACCGAGGAGGGGAACTGAGGCAACACCCAGGGAGTTTTTAACTTGTCTTGCAGTTTACAAACTTAAAACTTTGGGGGGGTGGGGGGGGGGGGGACTTCAGACAAAGAAGACACAGAAGACCACCAAGACCCTCAAGAGACCTTTGATAAGGACATGCATACGTCCTAATAAGTGTTGGGAATTGTCACGGATACGTAACAGGGATGCGGGGAAGGAGAAATGAACCACCGCGGGAAATGAAGGAGAAACGAACAACCGTTCATTTCCAAAACTCGCGAACGGAGCGTTCAAAAAAAGTTTAAAAGCTTCCCTTTAAGCGCCCGGAACTCCCCCCCACCCGGGCACCCCCGAAGCGGAGCCCGGGGCAGGGCCCGGCCCGCCGCACCCCCCCCCCCCCCCCCCCCCCCCCCCCCCCCCCCCCCCCCCCGTCCCGCGCACCTTGCCGGCTCTCCGGGTGCACCATGCGGCCGGTGACGGTGTCGGTGAGCGCCACCAGCTCCTCGGTGCTCAGCAGCTCCAGCAGGGCCCGGCATCCCGCCTGCTCCCGCTCGCTCAGCCCCGGGCCCAGCCCCGGGCCCGGGCCCGCCATGGCAGCGCCGCCCCGGTGCGCGCACGGGGAGCCGGGGGGAAACGGCGGCGGGCGCTGAGGGTTCCGGGCCGGAGCCGCCGCGCCCCTCACAGGCACCTCAGCGCCCCGAAACGCCGCGGGGAAGGGAAATTAAATTTAATAAACGTACAGGTTATATCTTTTATGAGGAGTTTGTAATGAAACAGGTCCCTAATTGGCCACCCTCCCCTCCCGCCGGCCGGGCGAGGGACGGGGATGGTCCCGCTCTGCTCTGAGCGGCGGCGGCCTCACCCGCGATGTATATTAATAACCTTTATACCTGTTTATATATACTTACAAATGTATATCGATGTATTTTATACCTGTCACAATTGTTGTTTTTCCCTCCCTGATTCTAAAAAAAAAAAAAATTATTCCCAATGGTCTTCTCACCTTCCCAACGCATACACAGCTGGGTCTGTACAAAGTTACCCGCGTACTCAGGAACCTCAAAGTTTGTCTTAAACTTACCTAGATATTTCAAGTACCCCTTTGGTCTTTTGAGGTCTGTCTAATTTTTAGGTGCTTCCTCGATCCGGGCACCTCAACCTCCCCTTGGGCTCAGAATCCAGCTGTGCAACACTAAACTCCAAGAACATCAAGAATTTACACGACTGTAATCGTTCTAAATAAACCAGCGTTATCAGATGAAAGTATTGAACTTTTAGAAGCAAAATCAAGGAAAAAAAAACCCAACAAAACAACTACACTTTTATCTCTGCACTACACCATTCAATCAAGGGGACCAAACAAAGCAGTGAAAAACAAGTGTTTGACGCTTGTTGTCTCTGCTGGGAGCATTATCTGAGACAAACAAAAGTTCACGAAGTGCAAAAACCGAGCCTCAGCTCCATGTATCAGCGCCTTGCCAGGAGGTTTAGGGCAGCATTTTGTACTTGTAATATAAGGTCGCTGAAGAACTCGAACAGTTTTATGATGAAGACAACTAACCAGAAGCAGAGGGATCTTAAAACAGCTGCATCCAGACTCGGCTGGGTTTTGAGCCCTAGGAAATCACTTCAGCAGTTAAATGCCCCCCCTTTACCCCCTATTCAAATCCAAATATCCAAATCTATATCCAAATCTACATCTAATATATTTGGATATATTTATATCCAAATAACCCCTGGAACATCAAAACCTGGCATCTTCACAGGCAACTGTCACGTACCAAACCCAACACACAGCAGCTGTGAAAGCAGCACTTCAGCATTTTCAGAGGGATTCTCCAAAAGACAAGATCCATTTCTATCAACAACAAAGACAATGTTTTATTGAACAAATCTATGTACAGTACAAAAAGGTTTTTAAAATGAAACACTACTGTAGATTTATTGCAGTTTGATGGCTCAGTTTTAATTTGTACTCTTATATAAAATGCAAAGTAAAATAATTTAACATTCAACAAGGAAGCACAAATTTCCTTTCTTGCTGAACCTGTAACAGCTTTTACAAATTAAGAGTCCCAAAATGCATACACTGCATTTAATCAGAAAGGTGTTATACAGTACCAAATAAATTAAGAAAATAGTAACACTACCACCCCCTTTGGGTCTTTTGTCCATAGCACTGGTGTTAAACAATAAAAGAAATGAGTACAGCTGAACCTTCCATGTGATATTAAAATCACAAAGTTTAATGTTATAAATTATCCAAACTATACAATTTATATAATTTTAATGAATATGGCTAAGTAATCAAAGTACCAGTGACCTTTCCCCACAGATATCACCACTTCCAACCTACTTTCAGTATTCCTTTATTTTGTGAAAGGTGCCCACCAAGTGGCAACTCTTTGAAATCAGAACTTCCATGACCTTTCCAGTGAAACATGATCGGCTTAAGAGAAGAGTCTTAAAAGCAAAGTCCAAATCCAAGTTACAGCCAACTGGAGGAATGTTATTGGAACACAGTTATCCACAACATAATGCACAAACTTTGATCCAACAAAGCTCCCAAGCTCATGTGTAACTTCAGGCAGCTTCGAGGGAGTTGCAAGGCTTACATTACACATGGACTTTAGTATTTGTTGAATCAAATATTGAATCAATTTATTGAAGGATTTCCAATTGTATCATATACAATGCTTCTTAATGCCTGGGGGAAAAAAACCAAACCAAACCAAAAAAAAAAAAACCAAAACCAACTTTCAGATCTGGATTTGTAACCTTTTTCAGCCCTAGAAGTTGCAGGCTTAGTACAAGGTAATACTCAACATAATAAAGAATCCTTAAAAAGCATGGAGAATTATCCCACACACGTTACACAAATTACCTTTTTGCTTCTGCTTCAAGTTGCTTAATACTGCAACTGTCTGAAAATACCAACAGCTATCAGAGAGGAGCTTAAAGAAAATGCATTGTCTTTTGAAGTAAAAATCATGACTTAAAAAAGTTACCACCCACTTGCTACATTAGGTCAATTTAACAGATTTCTGGTAACTGTTAGGGGTTTTTTTTTGCTAATTTTCACCTCCAGAAGAATTCATGTTTCCTGTTCTCCAGAGTGTATCTACTGAACACATGATATCAACAAATGGTGGTGTCCGAGAAAAGCATTTTGAACAAAAAATGAGTTTAATGCAGGTACAAAAAATTATGGTCACAGTTTATGCATGTACACAGATGCATTTATCTACACACTTAAAACCAAAGAAAATACAAGTCTCAGTCATGATTTTAAAGCATCTTCAAACACATGGAGCTCCAGGGAAAAGGCAAAAAAGCACCAAAGATTAAAGGTACATTAAAAAGATTTTACACAAACATTTTTGCCATATTTACTGACTCGGTTTTCAGATTTTTAGAACTGTAATACTTTAAAATTAAACTTTTTCCCCCCAAAATATATTTAAGGAAATTTAACTAGATTAACAAAGTTAAGCAAAGAAAGGGGAGCCTGGGAACATTCACCATGAAAACCGGGTCCTTAAAAATTAGTTGGTAACTTGAAAGCAAAAAAGGTCAAAGTGCATTTGTCTGATAAGGACCCCTTTAAATTTAAAACAAACTTTTAATGCATTTATATATGTAAATATATATATATTGTGTGTATAATACTTATATATAATGAACGATGCATTTAAATCAGGCTTTTTGCAGCTGCAAAAAAAAAAAAAAATTCTTTGGTGCCTCGAACGTCATACAAATCTCTGAAAGTGGGCCATGATCGGTACTGATGGAATGCACACACACCTGTGATCATAATTTTATAACCTTTGCTGTCAATCCAACTCAAAGTTAAGGCAAAAAATTTCCTCGAGTTCAAGAGTTTAAGATTTCGAATTTGCATTCCTTTTTACCCTCCCGGGAAGGGGAAAAGAAAGCAGAATGAATGCAAATCTGTGTTTACTTTCACAGAGGATTATTAGCAGAGGCCTTGCTGAGCTATTGGGTTTAGTTCCAGAACTACTTCACAGCCTATCCTACCACGACACCCTTGGGTTTGCCAGTGTGAGCCATTGTTACAACGAACAGGTTTCATGCACCTCTGGATTTGTTATGCATTAGTTTTTTTCCATACCTGCTGATTTGAGCCCTACATAGGCCATGATGAACTATTCCATAAATAAACCAGCTGAGCAGGAGCAGTTGGGCTTTGCCACCCCACATTTCTGTGAGGACTCCATCCCTGAACACCAGTTTGCACCACCATCCCTCCCCCCCTGCCTACAATCACATTAAAATGCTACCCGTGTGCAACAGGATCCCAAATAAACACTCTGTCAGGTGGCAGGAGATAAATGAGAGGAGAAATCAGCACGGTAATTGGGCAATGTGCATGTTTGCCACACCTCTTGCCTGGGGTGGGAAGACCAAAAACTACAAGGGCACCCTTTTGGTTCCCAAATGTTCTGCATTTCAGTGTTACACATAGAGCTGAAGGACTCACACTTCCTGTCTTCACATTCTGATTGTTTCTGTGAACAGTGAATTTCGAATAAAGTGCTTAACATTTCAGTAACTCCTTCACCAACTCCTGGGAAAGGCTCTTTTCAAGGGATGCAACTAAATAAAGTTACAATGTGTCTTAAAAGAGACTGAGTCCATACCTATTTTCTCCCTTCCTCAAGACAGTAAATAAGTAGTTACAGTACTGAGTCGTGGCCCACCACCATTTACCACAGATGTAAAACAGGCTCTTCCTGATCTTTTTTTTCCCCCCTCCAACCTGTGCTCTGCTTTTGTCTGCCTTCTCAAGTTCTTCTCAGTCACACCCACAGCTGAGGGACCTCTGTATTTGCATAATAACAAACTCTGTAATGCAAGTTTGACCTCCTCAACATTCTGCATTTGTTTTCAATCGGTTAAAATCCACGCGGGGATCTGTGCACGTACTGCTTGGCTTGGCCTTCCCACACCTATGACAGATGTTTCACAAGACACCCTTTACCTGCACCTTCACCTTGGCCTTGCAAAGGGCTTCTCTTGCATTGCATCTGATTTCCACTGTCTGTAAGTATTTTATCACATCAACTCACTCTTCCTGGCTATGTGCTGTATTTCGAGTTTTTGGCTATTCCAGCATTCCATCTATCTCAAGATTTCTTTCCACGTTCCTCTTTGGATTCTGAGTGTAAGTTTATTAAGTGAGCTCCATGCTTTTGAGCAGATAATACGACTCCCACACTTGAGCTTTGAAAGAAGAATGCATGGATTTCTTATCCATAGCATAATAATTAACACCTTCTGGAACGATTCCTTCCCAGCTGTGTGGACAGACACCCCATTAATGACACAAACTAAAGCAGCTTTCAGAACTGGCTGGTTTTTCCACAAGGCAACATCTATGCTTGCCTGATTTTCCTTAAACCTTCCTGCTACAAAGGCTGGGCCATTCAGCTTCAATCACCTATTTGGAATGAACATGGCTTTTCAGAGAACTGGTACTTTGGGGATTTTGTAGCAACCTTTCTGGACTCGAGACCTGCAGAGCTCCTATTAACTCCTCTGTGAGTTCTGTCTAGAAAAATGTGCTTTGTCTTTATCAAGGTCATGTTTCTCTCCAGTAATTTGAGACTGCTTCGTGTTTAAGGCCAACTGGGAAACGAACTGATGCTTCTTCATGTAGTGTTTCCTCACACCACTCCTTATCTGATACTTTCCTCCCGAACACTGAATCAGGCACCTGTAAAAGAGAATGCACTGGGGTCAAAAGGCAACTCCTTCCTTAATCTAGAACACTGCTTCTGCTTTTCAGCACGTTTAGTTTCAAACACGCAAGGACAGACAGACTGAATGACCCCTTCTGTTTGAGGAGAAGGCTTTTCCATCAGAGCTGCTTACAAATTCTCACCACCTCTTTCTTATTCTAAACAGCATGTCCATTTAAAAAGCCCAATTTAGCCAAGTACTGTGATTTAACTAAGTTCTGGCATATCTACTCCATCAGGCTGTCGGATTTCCAAGACCATTTTCTGATTGGTATTTACCCCCAAAGAAACCAACCCAAAAGGACTGGAAGGACTTACTTTCATCATCTGAATCGAATCCAAAGAGCGTCTGACACTTCTTTTGTGCAAGGTGAGCCTCAAGTGCTTCTGAATTACAGTAGATGGTCAAGCAGTTGCCACATCTAAATCTTTCTGTTGTTTTGCTACAAATTTTATCTTGTTCAGAGTAGGCATCTACTTCCTCAGCCAAAATTTTTCTACGTTTTGGCATGCTAATGTAACGTTCATCAAGGTAACTCGGAGGCAATGGTCTAACGTAGGGTTTTGTTAGGATGACACCGTATGAAGTAGTCTCTGTTGTCTGATTTGGTTTAGAAGGTACTTGTGAGGCAGCAGCAGCAGCATTATTATTATTATTTTGTGGTGCATCATGACAATTCTGTAAAACTGGTAACACTGACCCATTTTCTGTCCTTGTTTCATCTGCCCCTCTGTCCAAAGGTGTCTGTGATGACTTGGATGACGTCTGACCTGGGTCACTGTGCCCATTGACTAGTTGGTCACTAACAACACTACAGTTTTCAGAATTTGGCTGTAACACGGGTGCCTTTTGGTCTGTGGAACTTAAAACTGCAGCACTACCCTCGGATGAACTTTCATTTCCATTGTGAATGACGTTGTTTGCTTTCTTCTCCACACTTTGAATGTATGTCTTTGGTTCTGTAGAGTCCTTCCTCGACTTCCAAGTTGGAATTGGTAAATCTACAGTTTCTTTTTCATTGACAGATTCGTCATCATCCTGGAAACCACAAAGTTCTGAGGGATCATCTGAAGAATCTTTTTCACTTGCGTCTTCCAAACGTTCCGGGGTTTTATTTAAATAATGCTGAGCCTCGTGTTCATACAGCAAAGGGAGCTCCTCAAACAGCTCACAGCAGTCTGAAAAATTGCACTGAGCTTTAAACACACTGTGACTTTTCGTATGCTCTGCAAGCTCAGCCGACAGCTTAAACCTCTGATTACAATTAAAGTGTAAACAAAAGTAAACATTTGGATACACGTGTCTCTTCAGGTGGTCTATAAAATGCTGGGAATCAGCAAATTTTCTCTGGCAGAACCGACATTTTCCTTTATTCCACTTCATTATGTGTTGCTGCACCTTCAGGTCGGTTGGATGACTTTTCCTGGCGTGTTTGTTGAGGAATCTTATCTTTTTAAACACCCGAGCACAGCCAGTAGCAGGGCACTTAAAGGTTCCTTCCTCATCCAAAGCATCGATGTGTTTTCGAGGGCAAAAAGCCCCGTTCACTTTATGCAGAACAGGTGACTCTTTACTGGAGTTCTCATCATCTTCAGGCAAACTCTCTGTACTTAAAGCATCGGGGACATTATTAAAACAGCTGTCACTACTGTTTTCAGTAGCATCATCCTGGTCACTGAGGTGGTTTTCCACCGCACCAAATCCCTGTTCTGCGCTCTCATCCTCCCCTTGGACCACTCGCTCAGCACCTGGAGCTACTGCAGCCACTGGCACAGTATCTTTGGAACCACAGGAATTCCCGTTTTCAAGAGACAGAGAAGCATCAGAACATCCTACTTCCCTAAGAGCAGGAGCCTGCTGACCAGCCTCGAGAACCGCAGCAAGATGTTGCCTCTCTATCTTCCTGACGTGATTCCTCAAGTGCTTCAGCATCAGCCCCTTCTGCCTGAACTTTCTGGTGCAAAGTACACAGGAAAAGCTGCCCTTCTTCTGGTGAGCCTGCGCGTGTTTCACGATGTGATCGCCGAGGAACTCCTTGTTGCATATCACGCAGCGGTGCCTGGGCTCACTTCGATCCAAGCTTTTAGGGGCCTCCAGAGCTTCGTGGTTCTTTTTGGCATGGCCTTTGGACCGGGCCCCGGAGCAGTTCCCGGGGTCGAGCTCCCCGTTGCTCACGTCTGTCAAACGGGCACGCTCCTCGCTCAGAGCCCTGTACTCCGCTATTTTCTCGGGGTTTGCAGCGGAGTTTTCCAGTGTACTTTCACCCAAGCCGTCCAAGGCTTTATCCCCCAACAGCGCCAAACAGTTCTGCTTGATCATCAAGAAATTCCAGAACTCGGGATCGAAAAACAACCCCTTTTTCAAGATGGGGAGCAGCTCAAAACGCACGCGGTTTTGAACAGAGCTAGTGCACTCGTTGTACTCTTCATCTGCACACTTATACAAGTGTTCAACAGTGTAGTAAGATTCCAAGGTGCGCTCCAGGAAAAAGATGGAGAGAGCACAAATCCGCAGGATCTCCAGGTCGTTGGGCAGGAAGTGAGCGATTGCTTTGTAAATAAGACTCTTCATGGTGGGATCTTCACGCAGGTCCAGCTGGAGGGCGCACCCGCATATCTCGACACAGATCTGCAGGCCATCCTCACCAACCTGCAGGAAGGAAATTGGGAGTGCACGGAATTAGAAAGCACAGCTGTTTTTCCTGACGGGCCTCAAAGAAATCTGCAGCTCGAAAGTAAAATAAAAAAATATCAGACCCACAGGTTAAAAAAAAAGCCCAAAACACAACTACTCTAAACAATGGCCAAACATCAACACCCCATGTATTTATATCCATCTACTTGTAAAAGAGGAGTTCAGAAAGCATCCTGCTAGTAAACTTCACCTAAAGGCATGGACATTTCTAAATATTGCTCAAACAAGACTATAAATACAGATACAAAAACTTCTGGGCCCTGCAGTCCTGTAGTTAAAGACAGCTAATTATTTGGGGATATAAACCGAGACTGCAAGAAATCTGATATAAAATACAATGTAAATATCTGATCTCTTGAGTATCTCCTGTCTGCCTCTTCCTTGCTTAGGCTGTTCCACACTGTAACACAGCTACTCTGTATTTCGTCCTTGTTCTAACTCATTGAGTTTGCACTGCATAAAAATGAGGGTAACATCGCTTGCAATTTTGAACAAAAACGACCAGGGAAACCATAACAACCCATGGCCAAGGAATCTAAAAGGCCTGAATTTTCATAATTCCTATTCCACACTTCAGGCTGGGGGCACTGTCATGAAACTGTAACTGAGAGGGACAGTCAGAAACATATTGCCCAACAGGCAGCAGATTAAAGTCAAAAGAGTTTCAGGAAGTTGGGAAATAATGAATACCTTCTATATTTAAATGTCTGTTAACATATGTAGACAATGTAGTGGGTTATTAAAAAATAAAGACTATTCAGATGCAAATAGAAGTTATTAGTACCATCACAAGTATTTTAAAATACATACCAAGATGGAACTCTTTAAACAGCAGAAAATTATTGCGTTTTGACCCGTACAGCAGCCCCCCATGAAAAATAATTTACAACTGATTTAGGGCACAAAATAGGAAGGAGCTCTGTTAAATCAGGTTAATGATAAATAACAACATTTGTTGGGAAACAACTCCCATGCCTGTGTGCTTTTGATTACAAACTGTCCTAAGAATAGAATCATAAAATTAACTGGGTTGGAAGAGACCTTCGAGTTCATCAAGTCCAACCCTTGATCCAACCCCACTGCGATTACCAGATCATGGCACTCAGTGCTCCTTCCCTATTCCCTGTTTTTTAACTTTCCATAAAAACTGGTCATTACACAATATAAACATCGCTTGTCTTTAACTAGTTACAAAAAGAATGGTGGCTGAGGTAAAAACAAACAGGACTTACCTCGTCCTTAATGACTTTCATGAAAGGGAAAATGACTCTGACATTTGTGGCAATTCTCAGGAGCTGGTAGCAGTGGTCAACAAATACTTGCTTTGAAGGGTTAGATTTAAGCTGCAGTTTACTCCAAATGAAGATCAGGTCCCTATTAAGTACAGAACAAAATATTCCAATTAGATTGAGTTTTAGAACTCTGTCACTAAGCATGATGCATTACTAAAGACAATTATTTGCATGTTCTGTGACTAAAATCGTATTTGAGGGCTTAACACCAATCCAATTAACACCACAACGTGCACAATGAAAAATGCAACTCAATTACTTTGTTAAAGCATTCAGGGTATCTCCTATCACTGAGCCTATTAGATATTCAACAAAATATTAATGTATTCAGCTTAGTTCATAGAGAGAACTGCACAATAAAATCAGATGGCACAGATCTGACCCTCAACACCACAGGCAATAAACATCAAGCTCTGCGTGTTCTTGGGATTAAGTTCCTTTCAGTACAAGGGCGAGGAGTCCTTCAGGAAAAGAAGCTTTTGGATGTGGAAAGTGGAAGCACTGCAGAAAGGCAACTTCTGGTATGGTCCAGTGACAGGAACAGTGATGTTCTCCACATATGGGCATCACAACACAATTCTCTGCCAAAAGCAATTATATGAAGGGATCGGGCTCTACAGCTATTCCTACATCTTGGGGATCTTCAGTCCAAGAACATTCCTGCCTGAGACAAGGAAAGACAAGAACAGACTGCTGGGCTCTGCAGAAGAGCTGCTACACAGGTGATGTGCTCAGCCTGTAAAACAGAGCTAATTAAAAAAAAAAAAAAAACAGCCTGTAAATTCTGTGCACTTCGATTCAGAGGCGCAGAAAGGCAACCCGACTTGACTTGGAGCGATAAGATTTGCCAGCACAAAGATTTCACACAGGAGGAGATGAATTAGGAGTGTTTAGGCAGAAATCCCACCTCAACATTACAACGAAAACAGGGCTAATTGACTTTCATTTCCTGAAAGAAGACACTTTTCTATTCCACCAGTGTCCTCCCTCAGAAAACAAACCTAATTACTGACAAAATATCTGGCTGATCTTCCAGAGTCTCCAGTCTGTGCCAGGTACAAATTAAACCTTTAGGGATTAAGCTTCTCTTAGTAAAGTCAGAGCCTGAATGAAGGGAAGTGACAGAACTGCCTGTGACAAAACATTTACATTTAGGACAGCTCTACAGTTCTGCTTGACATTTTAAGAGCAAAACAAGAGAGCCTGATTGTTTTCTTTCATTCAGAACCCAAGAAAACTAAAGTTGAAAGAAAGATCAAGCTTCTGTGGGAGAAACTGTGAAAAGACCTATAAGCAGCTCTATGCACAAAAAATTAGTCCTGCAGGTTTTCTGAAGAAATGAGCTGTTCGCCTCTGCCTTTACCAGGCAGGAAATCTGATTTCTACATCTTTGCAAACTTCACAAACAAGTTTGAAACGAGTGTCTTTGTGGACCAAACCATTCTTAACAACTCAGTGTAAGTCTCAATCTGAAGCACAGAGGTGAGAACTGAATAATTTTGCTGTTATGTGTTACCACAGCTGAATAATCCAATTTACCCTCTGCTTTGCCTCACACCACTTCAGAGCAAGCCCTTTCAACACTAATCCCAGAAGATTTGAGAAAACTCAAATTATCCTTTTTAGTGGTTGAAGTGGTTTGGGGTGTTCAGACAAGCGTGATGGCTGGCACAAGGAAAGAGCTGAAAAAGGAATGGAGAAAGATGGAACAGCCCCATGGGGGAAGAACAAGGTGTTAACCACCATTTGACTAGACTCTCTATTTCAGTCTTTTTATTTTTCCTGTAGATGTGGTGGCTTCTTCTCAAGCACATTTCTCACTTTGACAATCATCAAGGATTAAAGTCTTCTTGAGGAGCTGACTGGACTCTTTTCAACCACTTCTATGCTTTGGATGCCAACTTGCCATGCTGAAGTCAGCAGCACCTGAGATATTTCAGTGCCTCTGACCAGAACACAGATGATGAATCTGAGATAAGAGAGCAGGGGTTGTTTCTCTTTGCACAGTCATTAAGGCAGAGCAGTAGAGCACTTAAAGAACTTTACTTCTTGGATGGTATATCTGAGTTCACAGTGAGGCCTCTCCTAAGCTTTTATGGACTTGTGTTGGGGCCATTTAAATTGTTCCTGTGAGATCACAGAACTCAGCACCTCTTTACCAGAGGCATTCCAGTCTCTTTAACTCCCTGCAAAATGCCACAACCATCCACATCTCCATCAGCAACACAAGATGATGGTTAAACCCACACTGCCTGAGCTAGATCTCAACCCTTTGATAGCAGAAGGTCTGTCTTTCCTTGGGTATAAAAAGCACACTTCACCAAAAGACTGATCAAACGTGTGGTAAAAAATTCCTTGACTTACTCTGAATTTACTGCATAAGAATCACTTGAAAACAGCCCAAACAGAATTTTAAAAATTGCCTGGCAGAGGAGGAAGGCGGTTCTGCTGTGCCTGTTTATGACTGTTCCATCAAAACATTGTCCTCCAAGAGACATCACCTCGACACTAAATCATTGTGGACTGATCTCTCACCAATACCTTGTATGAAAGTATTTCCAGTAAGACCAAACACAGCTTGCTTTGTGATTAATTTGTAAGTGGGCTTTGATTGCAGACAAACTATTCAGTTCATCTAAATCTAGAATTTAATCTTAACATCAATGAAAGTAAGAGCTGTGCAACAGAGCTGCTTGGAGTTCATCCTCCTCTGAGATGGTAGGTAATGGTTGCACCTTCAAGATTTCATACAGGTAGCAAATATCTGCTATTTACAACTTCCTAATCAATTTTGCTGTCTTAACTTTGCTACTTAACTTTCACCCTCGATTCCAGACAAGGTCAGATGATTTATGCTGTGCTGAAGATGTTAAAACCTCCTCTAGGGAAAAATACGCTCTCCATGTTAAATTACCTGGCTCCTACTTCTCCAAAAATTTGAATTACAGTGCAGTCATGCCTTCACATGACCTGTTAGGCATTATACAGAATTCTCTCATTGGGAACACAATTGTTAAGGCTCAGCATCTGTAAAGGATGGAACAGCTCTTTGAGCTGCACAGATGTAACTGCTCTGAACTCTTTCAAAGAACCTCAAGTTCTCTATTCTGAATAGAAGATTAAAAGACTAAAATTGTTTCCTTCTAAAACAGGTATCCAAAAGTACTCGAGTCTCTTCTGGAATTTCATCTTTGACAGACACACCTTGTTTGGAACAGCAATTTCAAAAATGGACAATGCTAACCAATGATGAGATGAATAAGAGCAAGACTAACATTATATAGCAAAGGATACAAGAAGGTGGTTTAATTTATTAAAAATGCCTTTTTAAAAACACTAAATCCCTGAAACACGTAGGTTACATCTGTCAGTTCCCTAAAAAGTAAGCAGTCAGGAGAGGCAGCATTTGGGCAGGAATCAGCAAACAGGGATTCCACTCTAACGTGGTCACTGGGCTCACACAAACTGTGTACCTTTTTGGTTGAACTTCTGTCCTGTGAGGACAGCCATGACCACCTTTTTGTGGACAGACTGAATGAAAAACACCACCAGCCACTGCCAACACACTGTACAATAAATGTGTGTCAACCATAACCCCAAAGGTTTTGACTGAACAATTACTCATCCAGCAGTTAAGGAACGAATTGAGTAACAAACCAAAAATCGTGTCTGACTTGGTTACTTCAGGACAAAAGAAACTTCTCAATTCCCTGCAATCTTGGAACACAGAAATCCTAGAGAGATTCTCAACTCCATGTGAAAGTTAGTTATGCAGATGAATAATCTGATCTCAATTGATGGAAGAAAAAGATCAAACCCTTGCTAAAGCTGTTTTGCTTTAACAACATAATCAAATAAATAAATAGAACATACTTTATATCAGGGAATGCAGATGTTCCTTCAGGTACACAAATTATAAAGGCTGAACAGGAGAATTATCTTCCTTAGCCATCTCCCAGCCCTCAGAAGGATGAAATTTGTTAACTCTCTAGAAGACACTTTTAACCCCTAAAAACATCCAAATATCAAGATGATTCAACGTGTACAAAGACATCCTTACTGAAATGTTTTCTGAAGGACCATCATTTGTGTAATGGCTCTGCTTCCATTATTAACAGCACGTTTCAGAATGACACATTCTCTTTCCAGACACATTCAGACACATACCAGAGCTAGAGGGCAAAATATCTTCATTGCTAAGAATCTACAGACTACATATCGTTACACATATCGCTGATCATAAACGCTCATCATAAATTTTTAGGTATTTATAGCCTATGGTATGTAAAGGCTCACTCTTCTCTTAATTTGAAGCAGTTAGTAAATGTTATGTTCTATGCACTGCCACTACACATGACCCTGTGTAAAAAGGCAAACAGGCACAACAGATGCACTAGGAATGTTTAAAAAATCGTGTTAGAACGTGTTTTGCTTTTTTTTTTTTTTTTTAAACTGGTATTTTTTAAACTCGAGCTACATCTTAAAAAAAAGTTAGGCGAGTTTCATTTTGGCAACAAGCATTTATCTTCTGCTAAGCTGCTTCACCAGAAATAAAGTATTTACCAGATACAATACATGTCCCCATTTTGGAGCTGTGGGACTAGGAAGGATTCACAAAGCTGTAAGGCTAAGGTAGTCTTCCCTTCTTTTTCAGTGTTGCAGATGATCTCAATTCCACTCTTGCAATCAGTCCTCAACAAGTGCTATACAATTAAAATAGAATCAATTTAGATAAGTTTGCTGACATGAAATAAAAAACCTACCAGACCCTGCTATGCTACAGTTACTGAAAACTTCAGGACTTGCTATTAACATAGGCTGGCTTTGGAACAGCTTCTCTGTAGGTCTGTAAATTAAGATTTTGGAGTTATCTAGAGCTCCTTCATATTTCTTACAGTAATGACCATCAGAATAATTGTCTGAGACAATAAAACAGTACACAAAAGCACTTTTTTGCATGATGGGAGCTTGTTCTTAAAACAGGGTTAAGAAAAGCATTGTTACCTAGTAAACAGAAAAAGCAGGGCCTCATGCAGCTCAAGTGTCATTTTACACAAAAGCACATCATTAAAAAATTTCAAGGCTTCCAAAACTGTATAATGTACAGAACACTGGGCTGGCGTCAATTAGTACTTTTACTAAATAATAGTCTATAGTAAAATAGTCAACACACTGACATCACAAAATATTAATGATTTAAGTTATTTAGGGAATATATCCACAAGTACACTTGAACCCCCCAAAAATTGCATTTAGCTCAACGAGCTCTGCAGGCACTTAACATTTACCTCTTCAAAGCTTAAGCCAGCACTAAATTAAGCCTGATTTCCATGACATTTGGTTCTACAACGGCAAGAGTTGCACATGCTCCTCTCCACAGCTTGTACCCAGCAAGTATAAAAGCCCCACCTCATGAAAACAATGTATTACTGGCAGACAATACCTCCTGGAATAGCTGATCTTCTAATGGTGACATATAAAGACAGGTGAAAAGAGCTTGATGGAAATACAGATCTTTACTGATATCGGGATGGTTTATGCAAGATTTGATAAGAGCCATTGCCTCAGGGATGCGTTCACAGGCAATAAGGTATCTGGCACGCAGTTCAAAGAACAGTGGATTTTCAGAGCTTAAATATTTGTTAACTGTACAGAAAAGAAAGATTTAAAGGCAATTAGAATGTGAAGTCCAACCAACAATTATTGTTTATGTTGTTTTTTTAATAGTGCAACGTCAACAAATAATATTAAAAATAAAATAAAGGCTCTGCTAAAGAATGGATCAAATATTAAGTTAAATACCATTAATCTGTCCTTCTGCCTGCAAACAAATTGTTATTTTTCTTACACCAGTAATCTAGTTCAGTATTTGGTTTCTAACAGATTAACACAAGGTGCTGTAAAGGATTAGTAAGATATATACTATACAGAAGATGTGAACATTAAAAAAAAAAAAAATTCCCTCCTTTCTCAGCACTGGAATCTGGGTGATTGTCAAAAGTACAGGATTGATATCACTTCCAAACTATAATTAAAAACATTTAAAACAACTCAGGATAGTCATTACCCATTAAAATGTAAGACCTCAAAGTGGTGAGAAGAAAAGTTAACTACAATCCACGTGCTGTTGCCTTAAGTGGCTTTGAATGCCTTGATTTTTCTTGCCAAAGTGGAAAATACACTTCTTCCTTCCTCTGAAAGTGCTACTGGGCACAATTCATATCTAAATACCTTTTAATCCTAGCTCCTGATTTCTGGAATTCTCTTTTTCAGACCTAAAAGATAACATAAAAAAGCTAACATATGAGTGAAATGATCTCAACTGATGTACTAAAAACACTTAACAGTTAAGTAAATGGAAATTCAGAAGTCCCTGGAAGATATATTTCAGATCTCTATCAGAAACAAGATTTCTCTAGCATCTTTATTTTTATGCAAGCTGA